CGTTTATTTGGAACACATCTGCATTGTAGTGGAGCAACATCATCACAATATTCTGCAAAAAGTTCCATCCAGCAATTAATTCACTTAATTTTATTACCATTTATAATAGAAAGCAGAGACAGTGTTAAATGTTAAATACTGGATTACTGTCAAATTTTTATATATGGTTCACCTGCTAAACAGTCGTATCACTTGAGCCTATATATATATATCTTGATTGCGAGATTAGGGTCAGATGTGTTCTAGTTTAAGGTAAATACCAACCCTTAATGTTTTACATTGACATTTGTCTCATTTTTCTAAAACGTTGCAGAATGGTGCTGATATCAATGCACTCAACCGTGCAGGTGACACACCTCTTCACAAATCTGCTTTCACAGGGAGAGTGGTGAGTATATATATAGGCTCAAGTGATACGACTGTTTAGCAGGTGAACCATATATAAAAATTTGACAGTAATCCAGTATTTAACATTTAACACTGTCTCTGCTTTCTATTATAAATGGTAATAAAATTAATAAGTGAATTAATTGCTGGATGGAACTTTTTGCAGAATATTGTGATGATGTTGCTCCACTACAATGCAGATGTGTTCCAAATAAACGGAGAAGGACAAACTGCAAGAGACGTAGCTAGCAACCAGGAGGTGAAGCACATATTGCAAGGTAAATTAAAATTAATGAAGTGTTCACTGCACAACTGTTGCAGTGTAGTGCAGGGCTGTTACTGTGTGAAAACTCCTCAACTTCTCAGCAGTCGAAAAGCCGAGAATGTTTATGAATTAACTTAAGAATATGGAATTTTTTATGTTAGCATGACATAAAAATTGTAGGAGGAATAATAAAATCACAAAAATGTCATTTTTTTGTTACGAAACCTTTCGATACAGACCTTGAGATCGTTTACGTGTTTACATTGATTTCAGCGGCAGAGCAAGCAGAGCTTTTTGCAATAGAAGGGAGGTTTTTGGATGCTGCTAGAGAAGGAAATGTTGATGTGCTTAATAGCCTAGTAAGCAATAGTTTCCTTACATTACTTTCTCCTTTTCCTCACTTATTTCATTTCTATTTCAACTTATTACAGTATATAACTATATTTTCTTTTGTCACTGCATCCTGATATGCTATTTGTTCTGTTTTGATTATCAGGTTAACTTGGCTAACATGCAGGGTTTTATCCTTGGGATGTGTACTACCTACTTAAAATTTTGTTTCTATATTGTAATTTGAGTATAAGTTATAAAAGGCAATTTTCCGTCGATCACTTTATATAATTGGCCTCGTGTGAAATAATCTTGGCATAATTATCAGGGTTTCTTCTGAGGGAAAATTAGACAAAGGCGGTAATGGCCAGTTTGGGGAAAGAACGCACATGGATTCAAAGGCGTGCAGTAGGCACGAATGTGGATTCTGCAGGCAGACACAAGAGGGGGGTTCTGGGGGTCTCCCCCAACAAAATTTTAAAAATTTGAATGTCTTAGACTGCATTTGAGGCACCCCGAAAATAAAATTTCACCTTTTACATGTTTTAGTTTAAGTGTTATTCTGTTAGCAGACCTACCCATTCTCCCGCACTCTCGCATGCCCTATGCATTCTCACGCATTCACACACAAAAAAGACGAAAAAAAGCAGCCCGTGACACCCCTGTTACCCACGTCTGTGGCTGTGCACATCGTGGCTCGTGCTTGCTGGCTGGGGCGGCATTGATTGAAGTATTGGGGGGGGGGGCGAATGCACTGATTGTTACAGTCGCTTGGGCATGCTGATTGCTGTATATGTCAATATCTAGGGGTGGGCATCACTGGTATGAGGGAGCGACAGCAAAACTTTCCCGGAATCGAGGAAAAAGCTGCAATCGGGAATGACACACGAGTGTGCCGGCACGCAAAAAGAAACGTTGCTGTGAATTTCATTACGATTTTCCGTGTATATAGTCAGAAGCACGTGGTGATCTATTTATTTTTGGATTGACACTATTTTGACAACAGCGAGTAAATACAGGAACATTTTCACAACGGCGTTGTACTTGTAACCCGTTGTTAAATTTGACAACGGCGGTGCGCCGCAGTGCCTCCTATGTAGAAGAAACCCTGATCATGATGGGAGTAGGTTAATAAATTTTGCTGTAAAATAACCACTGTCGAAACTACATCCCGGGCAGACTCGAGTGTTACGCATACTAAGCACGGTTTGACCAAAATTCACAATAGCTTGGTGTTTGCTGCATGTTTCAGTTAAAGTCCAATCACCCTCCCCGCCTTAACTGCACAGACACCAGTGGTAACACGGCCCTGCACTGCGCATCGTACAGAGACCAAAAGGAGGTGGCAGTTATCTTGTTACAGAATGGACTGGACACCAACATCTTAAATAATAGAGGCACTATTAATTTACTTTCATTAATACACAGTCGGATCTGGTATAACGATAGGAATTAGTTACAGCTAAGTAAACGTGATGTGGAATTGTCATTTTAAAAACGCACATGGAAATTATATTTGAAAGGTTAAATTCATTTCTAGACCATAGAAACATAAATGACTTGGTATAATTATAGATTTTTTCCCATGGTCCAGCACTATGTAACATCTCTGCCTGTACCAAGCAGCGAAACTTTACCAGAAAAGGTTAAGCAACCAAAAAGTCACTGGACTTACTACACTACTGGACAGTAGTCACTGCTAGTGGTGATGCATATGTCTGTCAGTCAGTGTAGATCACTTTGTGCCTTGGAAAAATCTGCTTGCCTGTTACAAGCAGCGACATGTATGACCATAAAGCCAGAGAGGAGGAACTTGTCCACACAAAAATTTTCAGAATTGCTACCATTGTAGTGGAGAATTTTCATTGTTACATAAACACACGACGTTATATTCAGGGCCATTGTGATGCAAATACATTGTTATACGAGATCTGACTGTGTATAAATCTTACTATCTTAAAACTGTGTTTGTAACATTGGTCGTGAACGTAATTCGCAATGCAGTCGTGGGAAATGCTAAATTGCATGTCTTATGAATCATGTGAATTTTTGTGTACAATTGTTGATCATGATATATCTAATAACATATATATTAAATTCGTATGAGTATATATGGCTATATAGTTAACCATGTCTTATCCAATATTGCAGGTCAGGCAGCAATGGATTTGGCACACACACCACAGATGAAGCAGTTGCTTGGTGTGAAACCCATCAAGGAGATACAAAAGCTTGTGCACCGATTTGAGGGCCCTCTTGCAAGGGTAATATTGGTGTAACACTAATTTGATCCGAGGGCCCTTTTGCAAGGGTTATATTGGGGTAACCCTACTTTGATTTGAGGGTCCTCTTGCAAGGGTAATATTGGGGTAACACTAATTTGATTTGAGCGTCCTCTTGCAAGATGGCGGGTGCATTTTAGGATGGCGGGGCTCGACGATAGCCTGGCGGGCCGCCAGGCTATAAGTGCTCTTGGAGAACCCTGGAATATATATATATGAGAGTCTCACATATAGTAATATATACTCTTATACACACTACGGTAGGCGCAGAACGGGGTCGCTATTTATCGAACCCCGACCAGCCAGTCGCGAGTGCCTGTGCCTAAACCGACCAGGCTCTACGACTGTTACACGGCGTAGCCAACGTAGTGTTAAGCGAGAAGGGAACTTGTGGCTAGTGCTCGCCCAGCTATAGTAGTGTATAGGGGAGTCACCCGGTGAGGAGGGGGCAAGCCCCACGGAAATTTGTTGAAAAAGTGGTGCAATTTGGTGCATTATAAGCACTGTTCTATGGAAGAACGCTGATTTTCGACAGGGAGGAGGTGTTTTCGACAAATTTTTGTGTGGCGGCAGAGAATTTGAGCGAGGCAGCCTCCCTCGCTCGTGTCAATGCAGGGGAAACACTGTATTATATATATACAATATATACAAAACATGTGCGACAACTTGCACCTACATGGACCTATTAATAACATGTCTGACACTTGTCTTAGACCTGGTACAATGCTGTAATGTAGTAAAAATTCACAATGTTTACAATACTATCAATAGTCTTTTTAGACAGTATGCATATACTTAGCATAATACTATAAATAATAAATAGCAATATTGTGTAATATTCACAGTAGTTATTGACAATAGTGCTGTGTCAGTGAGGGAGAAAATATTGCCACAACTAGTTAACTCTAACCCTCAATGCATTTGTGACTCGATGCTTACAGCCACCCTGATTAACATCCACCTTTCATGCCAAAAACTGTGCGCAATACCTTATCATGGAACATTCCAATGGAAGGTGCGATATAGCCGTATTAGTGTATTTGCCCCTCTTCTATCATCAATTCCAATAGGATCTTGCCACTGTGCAAATTTGATCTTGCAATACATGGCTGTTTCTTGGAGCTGTTATAGACCCAAAGTATAGTTGTACTTTGTACTGGTTATTGGAGCTGTGTACATGACCATTTCTTGAACTTGGAGCTAAAGTTGGCTTACACACATGTAGAGATAGTTACGGTAGCATAGCAATGCGAACTAATTGACAGGGGTACATCTTAAAATCTTTGTACATCCATCATCCTTTTACATTGTCACCACAAGAAACATATGACCCTGACCCTGATCCTAACATAATATAATCCATGTATCATATGTGTCTACAAAAGTCGAAAAGTAGGATTGACCCATGTTATCCTTTTTAGCATGCATAGTGTTTGGCTCTACCATATAACCGTGTGAATGCTGCAATATGCCACGTAGTCCTGTGCCACTCTCACAAATGCTTTATTGGCCAGGCATAATGGGCACTATGAGCAAGTAAATATTTAAAGCCATTTTAGCTGAGACTGTTGACAACTGTTGAATATGGACCATATATTTATGAATGCAGCAAGACTATACAAAGGTAAAACAAAAGAATTTAATTTTTGCAGTAACTGCTGCAATTTTAGGCAAAATTCTCATTAAAGGAATGCTTTACTCTAGAATTTGAGAGTATATATTATGATAGTAGATTTATAAATAATAGCACATACCTATAAATATCTATAATTACGCATTCACGTTTGTCATAAAACAACATTGAATTTCAAAATCTTGATTTTTGGGCGCTGACATGACACCCGCGATCGTGCTGCCACCCTAAAAAAGTTGTGCATTAGCCAATTTATTTTGCACGTTATAGACCGAGGGCTAATCACAAAAGTGCAAGTATATTTATACCTAAATGCTATTTAACTGAACGATATTCATTTTAGGACAAATTTATCCATATTATAACTGAAACTATATGTCGTTTATATAAGATATTGCAATCCTTCTGCTTTTAAATTAATAAATTAGAAACACCCTCGGTCTGTAGCCCTTGGCTGAAAAGTTCGTTCCTTGGATGAAAAGTCCGTTTGCGCAACTTATCAGATAGTGCGCTTTGAGTGGCGCCACCGTCGTTGTAATCAAACTCTAGTCGTTAGTTTTAAAACATTTAAAAAAAA